CCCACCAGGCCCAGAGACTTATCTACCTTAATGATTTTCGAGACTCCCAATACCTCCTTTTTGATCTCAACATGACCCAAACTATCTACACACCTTTCCCAAGACTCATTATCCACCAAGTCCTTCTCTCTGGTAAATACTGATGCAAAATACTCATTTAATACCTTGCCCATTTCCTCTGGCTCCACACATAAATTCCTTTCCCTGTCCTCGAGTGGGCCAACGTTCTACCTGTCTACCCTCTTGCTCTTTATATATATGTATAAAAAGCCTTGGGATTTTCTTTAATCCTGTTAGCCAATGACTTTTCATAACCCCTTTTAGCCCTCTTGACTCCTTGCTTAAGTTTCTTTCAACTTTCCTTGTATTCCACCCTTGCTTCATGTGTTCCCAGCCTCCCAGCCTTGACAAATGCTTCCTTTTTCTTTTTGTCTAGGCTCACAATATTTCTCATTATCCAAGGTTCCCTAAACTTGCCATTACTTATCCTTCATCTTTACAGGAACGTGCCAGTCCCGAGTGCCTATGAACTTATACTTGAAAGCCTTCCACATACCAGATGTTGAGTTCCCCTCAAACATTTGCCTCCAATCTACATTCTTCAGTTCCTGCCTAATAATGTTGTAATTATCCTTACCCCAATTTACCCCTTCACCTGACAACCACACTTATCTTTATCCATCAGTACCTTTATAGCATACTGAATTGTGATCACCTGGCCAAGCTCATTCACCAATAGTAGTCCAACAAGGGGCCGTACTGGACCTATCTACATACTGTTTCAAGAAGCCCTCCTGGATGCTCCTTACAAACTCTGCCCCATCCACACCCCAAGCACTAATTGAGTCTCAGTCAATATATGGGAAGTTAAAATCATCCACGACAAAACCCTGTTACTTTTACATCTTGCCAAAATCTGCCTACATATCTGTCCTTCTATCTCCCTCTGGTTGTTGGGAGGCCTATAGTAAACCCCAAACATTGTGATTGCACCATTCCTGTTCCTGAGCTCTACCCATTTGCATCGCTGTATGAGCCATCTGAGGTATCCTCCCATAGTACAGCTGTGATAATCTCCTTAACAAGTAGTGCAACTCCCCCACACCTTTTACATCCCCCTCTATCCTGCCCGAAACATCTGTATCCTGGAATGTTATGCTGTCAATCCTGTCCCTCCGTTTACCAAGTCTCTATAATAGCAACAACATCATAGTTCCAAGTACTAATCCAAGCTCTAAGTTCATCTGCCTCACAAGTTATACTTCTTGCATTGAAAAAGATGCACTTCAGTCCACCAGACCCACTTTGATCAACAACCACTGGTCTTCCTGCTCTTCCTTGGAGTGTTACTGGCCTTATTCTCTAGTTCCCTTTCAGTCAATTCTCCTTTGCTTTGGTTTCCAATGCCCTGCCAAGCTAGTTTAAATCGTTCTGAGTGACACCAGCAAACCTCCCAGCCAGAATATTTGTGCCTACCCAGTTTAGATGCAACTCGTCCTTCTTGTACAGGTCCCACTTGTCCCAGAAGAGATCCCAATGGTTCAGATATCTGAAACCCTCCCTTCTACAACATCTGTTTAGCCACGTGTTGAGCTGTACTATCTTCCTATTTCTAGCCTCACTGGCACATGGCACAGGGAGTGATCCCAAGATTACAACCTTGGAGGTCTTGCTTTTTAACTTTCTACCTCACTCCCTGAACTGCTGCTGCAGGACCTCGTCACTCATCCTACCTATGTCATTAGTATCAATATGTACCACGACCTCTGGCTGTTCACGCTTTTCCTTCAGAATGCTTTCTGCCTGTTCAGAGATATCCTGGACCCTGGTACCAGGGAGGCAACATCCTATCCTGGAGTCTCTTTTATGTCCACAGAAGGGCCTATCTGTACCCCTAACTATAGAGTCCCCTATAACTACTGCTAGAACATAGAACAATACAGCACAGTACAGGCCCTTCGGCCCACGATTTTGTGCCAACCTATTATCCTACTCTAAGATCAAACTACCCTGGATACCCTACATTTTACTATCATCCATGTGCCTATCCAAGAGTCGCTTAAATGCCCCTAATGTATCTGACTCCACTATCACTACCAGCAACGCAGTCCATGCACCCAGCACTCTGTGTAAAGAACCTACCTCTGACATCTCTCCTATACCTTCCTCCAATCAACTTAAAATTATGCCCCCTTGTAATCGTCATTTTTACCCTGGGAAAAAGTCTCTGGCTATCCATTCTAAATAGCAATATCTGTGAATGACCAGTGCTGTTTGTCTTTCCCTTCTTCAGAACAGAGCCAGCCACGGTGCCACCAGTCTGCTGCTGTTGCTGTTATCCCCTGACATGTCATCCCCCCAACAGTATCTAAAATGGTATACTAGTTAGAGAGGGGGATGACCACAGGGGATTCCTGTACTGGCTGCCTGCCCCTTATAGCAGTCACCCACCTATCTGCCTGCACCTTGGCTATCTCTAAAACTACTCTGTCTATGATGCTTTCCTCCACCCGCATGTTCCCAAGTGCACCCAATTGCCGCTCCAACCTATCCATGCGGTCTGTAAGGAGCTGCAGTTGCGTTCACTTTCATCCGAGATGCTGGAAGCATCGCAGATCTCCCACATCCCACAAATGCAGCTGACTGACATTTCTATCACCAATTAAGCTATTTAAGAAAATTTATTCAACACTTACCCTTACTTATCGCTGCGAATACCCAAGGTAGGTCTTACCTCACACAGCTTCCCAGGATGCTCTCTAGATCCCTCCCTTTCCCTTGCTTCAGATTTTCACAGTGTTGTGTGTATTTGGAGTTGACCTGTCACTTGACAACAGCCCCTCTGCAAACCACCTTCTGGAAGCAGTGACTACACTGATGCAAATCTTCCCCACGTCAGCCAATCAGTGTCACCACTCTGCTGCCCTCTTTTGGGAACTTGAGACCTAATTGGAGTAGTTGTTGATGTAATCATGCATGGTGAATGTGAATGACCAGAAATATCATTGCAATGCAGATGTCTACATACACCTAGAAGATCTGTGCCTTCATTGCAGGTAATGGATCAGGAAAACTCATCTCACTATCTGCCCAAGGTACAGCACAACCACCAGTCTTAGAACTCCAGTGTTCCTCAGCAGTAGAAATGGATCAGCAACAACAACTAACATGGTAAAAGCACTTGCCACAGGAATGAGAATCACTCAAAGAACAGATCCCAGACAAACAGTCGAGGAAACATGCATAAGAGCCATTAGGAGGCTTGCATGATTTAAAGACTATGCATACCATACATGCAGAGACTGACAGAAGTGGAACTCATTTGAATTAACATGCAGTTTCTTAATGATAGTTTGCTTCATAACAATGTATTTTGGATAATTTGTATAATAACTGCAAATGAGGGATGCACATATAAAACAAAGAAAAGCAAATGCTGGCAATCTGAAAAAAAACAGAAATTTCTGGAGAAACTCAAGATGTCTGGCCGCATCTGTGGAGAGAAAGCAGAGTTAAGGTTTCCATTCCAGTGACCCTCCTTCCAGACCTCAGTTCCGAAGAAGGGTCAAAGGACCTGAAATGTTCTCTTCACAGGTGCACCCAGACCTGCTGAGCTGCTCCAGCAATTTCTGTTTTTATTTCAGATTTCCAGTATCTGTAGTTTTTTTCAGGTTTTGTTTACAATTTTGCAATGGCTGCCTTGGCATAGTCATGTGACCTTTACCTCTACAGTGAAAACCTTTTTTTATGTGATCTGTGGAAACCATTGAACATATGTCACTAAGAACATGTTTGTCCTTCCTTGGTTAGGTATCTGGGTCTTTTTTGTCATCCCTTGGAAAGAGCTCGCTCTTTTCCTATGCAGCCTAAAGGCGAATTTGTAAAGAGGCATCCGTGAGCCATCAGTTCATGGTGTCTTCTCAGCAGCAAGTTGGCAGCAATCCCTTCATCCATTCCTTGGATCCTCAGTTGACTTTCTGGGATCTACGACTCCTCAATGCAATTGTAAGGCTGGAGTAGCTCAGATTTCAGCCAAGTGGATATTCAATGTTGTTGCTGCTGAGATCCTGATGAATAAGGTAGTACAGTGTGCAGTCCTTTAAAGATAACCCCAGAGTCTGCCTTTTCATCAGGTGTTGCTAAGATTGATGTCTTGTGCCCATTGTCTGTCAACATTGGATGGGCCTCACATCTTCAACTCATTAATTGACTGCCAGTCAAGCGATCATGATTAGTTGTCTGCATTCTGACTGCATGGAGTGGTGCCCATTTCTGGGTCCACCTTGGAAATCCATATTGTGCAAATGAAGTTCAGTTTCCTTCTGTCTTCTTTCCTTTAAGCCTCATGTAAGGATCAAAATATGAATGTTAATAAAGAGAGCTAATTTGTGAACTTTGATCATGAACATTTAGGCTGCAGTATAAATTCGGCCATGATCTATGTTAAACTTTAAGTGCATCACCTCTGGGAATACTGAGTGTTAACATTGGATTCCCATGTAATGAATAGCAAGTAACACAAGTGTCCCATTCTTAAAAAAATTTCATGAACTTATGGCCCGTATATCATGAGAAACATAAATCAGGTGAAAAGCAAAGGTCTTCCCTAGGGTAGAGGAGTTCAAAACAAGAGGCATAATTTTAAGGTGACAGGAGAAAGATTTAAAAGGGACCTGAGGGGCAACTTTTTAACACAGAATGGTTCATATCTGGAATGAACTGCCGAGAACGTGATAGATGCAGGTACAGTTACAACAGTTAAAAGACATTTGGACAGGTACGTGTATAGGTAGGGTTTTGAGGGAAAAATGCCAAATGCAGGCAGACAGGGCTAGTTTAGTTTGGGAACCTTGGACAGCATGGCTGAGTTGGACCAAAGGGTCTGCTTCCATAGTGTATAAATCAATGACTATTTATTTAAATATTTTACATGTGTTAGTAAACGAGTCTGAAATTGTTACTCACTTATGTCTCTTGATGATTAATGTGTTATTTTATAGGTGCTGTAAACAAATGGCTTGAAGTGAATCATGAACTGCCTAGCCGTATTGTTATTTATCGTGATGGTGTAGGGGATGGGCAACTAATGACATTAGTTGATTATGAAGTGCCCCAAATATTGGACAGCTTCAAGATGGTTCACTCAACCTACAGGTAAGGTGTAATAATTTGTTTGTCAGAAGTCCTACACGTGTAAGCAGTGAGTTCTTGAAATCACACAATTTCCATTTAAAGGCGCTAAAATATTTGTGCACAGTCACCTTATATAAAGGAATTATGTGTTCTTATTATTTCTTAATTTCCTAAGTTTAAATCTTACTTTTAAAGAATAAAATGTATGTGATGTGTATGGGTTTGTAATTGCAATTGAATGTCAAGCAGTTGTGATGTAAGATAATTCCCACAAACAGCAATATGATAATGAACAGAATTTAACAGATAATGAACAGACTATAAACATATAGTCCAAGGCGTAGGGTACTCCCCTTCTGTTTCTCAAAATAAATACCATGGGATCTTTTGTATCCAACTGGATGAACAAGTGGCAAACTGGTTTAACCTCTCATCTGAAAGATGCCACTTCCAATTTACGTTTCTTACAGATTTATTGTAAATGTTTTAATTATGCTGGCAAAACAGTCTGGGAAATATTAGCCACTTTATAATGTCACTCGTGACTAATGTCAGAGAGGCTTAGATTCATAGAGCTGTACAGCATGGAAACAGACCCTTTGGCCCAACTCATCCCTGCTGAACAGATACCCTAAATAAATCTAGTCCCATTTGCCAGCATTTGGCCCATATCCATCTAAACCCTTCCTATTCATATACCCATCGAGATACCTTTTAAATGTTGTAATTATACCAGTCTCCACCAGACTCTTTTACTAGATATATGTGTAGCATTGTTTTCAGTTTTGTACCATTGTGGTACACAGATTGGGTCTATTTCAACATATTTGTTTATCGCAATGGTGGTTGAAAACCAGGCCTCTAGGAATTCTTGTGCTTGTCTTTGTTTTGCTTGACCTAATACTGTAATTTTGTCCCAGTCTAATTGATGTCCTTCTGTGTCAGAGTACATTGAAACAAGGGAGAGTTGGTCATGCTGTTTTGGTGCGAGTTGGTGTTCATGCATCCTGGTGGCGAGTTTCCTGCCCACCTGTCCTGCGTCGTGTTTCTCACAGTTGCTGTATGGTATTTTGTATATCACATTTGTCCTGCTCATTATGGGTAGGGGGTCTTTCATTTTTGACGGTAACTGGCGAAGTGTGGCTGTAGGTTTGTGTGCTGTCCTTATTCTAAGAGGTCGTAGGAGTGTTGTAGTCAGTTCTGATGTGATTCTAATATAGGGTAGAGTGTGGCCAACTCTCCCTCATTTCAATACACTCCGACATAGAAGGACATCAGTTTAATTGGGGCAAAGTTACAGTACTAGGACAAGCAAAACAAAGACAAGCACGAGAATTCCTGGAGGCCTGGTTTTCAACCACTGGTGCAATAAACAAATATGTTGAAGTATACCCCACCTACATACCACTATGGTACAAAACTGGACACAAGACTACCCACCATGACAGATTGGACCAGATAAATTCAAAGCGGGCCAGAACAACAGCACTTCAGTGAAGGCTGATAGCACTGAAGATATCACCTAGAAAGGAGAAGAAACATTTGCACAAAAACCAGTCAACCAACCAACAACTCCAACTCTGAGCTACAGATCTTCATTAAAGCATTATACACCTGACCATGTCCCAGGGACTTATTCACATTTATGCATTTTAAGATGTCCACCACCTACTCCTCTGTAATATGGACATTTTTCAAGATGTCGCTGTTTATTTCCCCACGTTCTCTATCTTCCATATCCTTCTCCACGGTAAATACTGAGGTGAAGTATTTGTTTAGTATCCCCCTCACCTCCTACGGTTCCACACATAGGCAGCCATGCTGATCTTTAAGGGGCCCTATTCTCTCCCTAGTTATTCTTTTGTCCTTAATGTATTTGTAGAATCTCTTTGGATTCCCCTTAATGCTGTTTGCCAAAGCTATCTCATGTCCCCTTTTTGCCCTCCTTAAGTATACTTCTACTGCCTTTATACTCTTCTAGATGTTCAGTTGATCCCTGCTGTCTATATCTGACATATGCTTCCTTCTTTTTCTTGACCTAAACCTCAATTTCCCTAGTCATCCTGCATTCCCCACACCTACCAGCCTTGCCCTTCCCCCTAACACAAACATATTCCCTCTGGACTCTCGTTATCTAATTTTTGCAGGCTTTCCATTTTCCAGTCATCTCTTTACCTGCGAATATCCGCTCCAGTCAACTTTTGAAAGTTCTTGCCTAATACCATCAAAGTTGGTCTTCCTCCAATTTAGAAATTTAACTTTTAGATTTGATCTATCCTTTTCTATCACTATTTTAAAACTAATACAATTATAGTGACTGGCCCCAAAGTGCTCCCTCACCATCACCTCAGTCACCTGCCCGGCCTTATTTCCCAAGAGTAGGTCAAGTTTTGCACCTTCTCTAGTAGGTACATCCACATACTGAATCAGAAACTTTTCTTGTACACTCTTAAATTCCTCTCCATCCAAGTCCTTAACACTATGGCAGTCCCAATTTATGTTTGGAAAGTTAAAATCCCCTACCATAACCACCCTGTTATTAGACATAGACATAGGCATAGATGTAGAATCCCTACAGTGTGCAAACAGGCCCTTCAGCCCAACAAGTCCACACCGACCCTTGGAGCATCCCACCCAGACCCATCCCCTTTTAACCCACGTCAGCTTCACATCCCTGAACACTACGAGCAAATTAGCATGGCCAATCCACCTAACCTATTCTTACAGATAACTGAGATCTCCTTACAAATTTGTTTCTCAATTTCCTGCTGACTATTCAGGGGTCTATAATGCAATCCCAACAAAGTCATCATCCCTTTCTTATTTCTCAGTTCCACCCTAAATAGAGCCGTGATGTTGTTCCCAGTCAAAAACGCCATTCTCCCTCCTATCTTGTCCCCTTTTATCCTCCCCAGAGCATCTATACCCTGGAACATTAAGCTGCCAGTCCTGTCCATCCCTGAGCCACATCTCTGTAATCACTATGATATCCCAGTCCCATGTTGCCTACCATGCCCTGAGTTTACCTGCCTTAGCTGTTAGGGCTCTTACATTGAAATAAATTCAGTTTAATTTAGCAGTCCTCTAATGTGTTGTTTTATGAATACTCTTCTCTCAATACCACGTAGGAATGTCAACCTTGTTTTGTGATCAATCCCTCGAACAGGACTTGAGCCATAGCCCCCTGTCTCAGAGGTGAGAGTATTAACAAATGAAAAGAAGTGTAAAAGAAAAGCTTTGCATTAGATCTAAATTTATCAAACACATGTTTGACTCCATTTTTCTTAGTCTTACTCTCTCACTTTTAGTTCCCAATCTCACTATTTATATCAATTTTAGTGTATGACTTAGAGAGGGATCTGAATGTTACCAGCTTTGTGGTTTAGTTGTTAAGCCTACTTCCTGAGAGGCTTTCTCAGGATTTCAACCCTTTCCTTTCCCCAGAGAAAGCCATGCTTTAAACTTATTGGAGAGCTAATTGGTCTGAGAGTCCAGGTTTAACGTTTCTATATTCACTTCCCTTGACAGAAAGTCACCACTGCTGCCTCTGCTACTATCACTTCCCAAACACTCTACAGAGCAGCTACCTTCTGAAACTCTTGTTTGAGAAATCTTTTTAAATTCTTGATGTAACAGACTGTCCGAAGTATACCTGAATTTGCTGATTTCCAATTTAAGTAAATTCAGTTTGGTACACTTCCTTTTGGAGTGTTCATTCATCTATCTGTAATCAAAAGATTGTGCAATCTGTAATTTACACTTTGCACAATCTTTTGGAATGCTGCCATTCTTAGTATAACTGTGAGGCAAATTACAATTCACTTCTATGTATAAATTCCAATGATGCGGTAGAAGGAATGGTCGATTTTGTAATCTGCTGGAGTGTGATCTAAAATTTAATTACATTTGATAAAGTCTTTAATGAGCAAAAATAGACAATAATCATTTAACTATAGCACTCCCTCAGTTCTCATGAGAATTTTTGTTTCTTTTAGCCCCAAAGTAACAATCATTGTAGTTCGGAAGAAAGGTACCTGCAGGTTTTTTGCTAATGTGAATGGACTGCTTCAAAATCCACCAGTTGGCACTGTGATCGATAGCGAGGCTACCCATCCTGAATGGTTTGTTAAAATTATATATGAATGTATAACATTTTCACATTAAACAGCTATCACTGAAAATCCAGTTATACAAGGATTGCAAATGTCAAGAAAGTCCACCTGACATTACAGGGAATGAGAGTATATGTATGCAAGACTGTTGGGATTGGAGGATTTACCTGGGTTAGCTAGGTACAAACTGATCTGTGGGCACCTCCTTCTGTTTATGTTAAACAGCCATAATTTAGGCAGCTTCCAGATTGAGACTTTGGTACTCTTGTCTGAGATACCATATCCCTGCCATCCCCTTGCCAAGTTATTTACTTGGACTTCAATAAAGTCTTTAACAAGGTTCCACATAGTAGTAACTAGTAAAGTTAGGTCACATGGGATTCAGGGTGAGCATGCCAATTGGATACATGGTTGGCTGAACAGCAGGACACAGAGAGTGGTGGGAGAAGATTGTTTTTTGGATTGGAGACCCGTCACTAGCATTGTTCCATTGGGATCGGTTCTGGGTCCTCTTTTTTGTCATTTATATAAATGATTTAGATGAGAATATAGAAGGCCTGGTTAGTAAGTTTGTGGACAACAGCAAAATTGGTGCCATAGTAAAGAGTGAAGAAGGTTTTCTAAGATTACAAATGGATCTTGATCAAATGGGTCAATCAGCTGAAAAATGGCAGATGGAGTTCAATTTGGATAAATGTAAGATATTGCATTTTGGTACAACAAACAGAGGATTTACACCATATATGGTAGGTCCTTCGGTAGTGTTGTAGAAAAGAGGGACCTAGGGGTTCAGGTGCATAATTCTTTGAAGTTTGCATCACATATAGACAGGGTAGTTAAAACGGTGCTTAATATGGTTGACCTCATTGCTCAGTCCTTTGACTATAAGAGTTGGGAAATCATGTTGAGGTTGTACAGGATATTGGTGAGGCCTCTTCTGGACTACTGTGTCCAGTTCTGGTTGGCCTGTTATAGGAAGGATATTATTAAGCTACAGAGGTTTCAAAAGAGATTTATCAGGATGTTAGATAACAAGATGTACAGCTGGATGAACACAGCAGGCCAAGCAGCATCATAGGAGCAGGAAGGCTGACGTTTCGGGCCTAGACCCTTCATCAGGATGTTGCTGGGTATGGAAGGTTTGAGTTATAAACAAAGGCTGAGTAGACTGGGACTTCTTCCACTGGAGCACAGGAGATTAAGAAGTGATCTTAAAAAGGTTCATTAAATCATGAAGGGTAAAAATAGAGTTTATGGTAGGTGTCTTTTTCCTAGGATGGGAGATTTCAAGACAAGGGGCATAGTAGGAGGCACTAGCATGGTGCACGTGTGGAATGAACTTCCAGAGGAAGTGGTGGATGTGGGCACAATTATAATGTTTAAAAGACAGATAGATAAGTACATGAAAAGGAAAGGTTTGGAGGGATAAGGGCAAGGAGCAGTCTAGTTTAGTTTGGCATTATGTTTGGCATGGACTAGTTGGACCTAATGGTCTGTTTCCATGCTGTATGAGTTTATGACTACATACAATGGAGTTGGACCTTTTGTGTCACATTTTTCAAGGCATTGCAACCTCCAGGACCAAACTCTGTGCTTTATGAATCATGGAATTAGGGTCTACCAGTATAGGGAGTCATAATCCATGATTCTGGAACATTAGGTGCAATCTTGTCAGGAGATGGAAATTTTGCCCCTTAAGCACAAGCACAAAGTCAAAAAAGGACTCATAATAAACTGATACATTACCTACAAAGACTCAAATATTGTAGATTGCTCCTCTCTGAGGTGATGTGTTCTGAAAGGTGACCTAAATTTGCTGTATCATATTGACAGGTATGACTTCTTCCAAATCAGCCAATGTGCACACCAAGGCACTGTTTCTCCAACATACTACCATGTTGTATATGACAATAGTAGCATGAAACCAGACCATGTACAGAGATTAACTTACAAGATGTGTCACCTCTATTACAACTGGCCAGTGAGTAGACTTTGAACAAATGAATAGATTATTATTTTATGACTGTTCTCATTTTTTCTGTCCAACTCTGCAACGTCTACTTATTTTTCAGTAACTGTTACTCATGATAAATCTGGCACTGTCTCAATTTCCAGCAATTGGATTTGTCAACTATAAAGCTTTTTGGCATGCTGGCTCAGTGGTTAGCACTGCTGCCTCACAGCACCAGGGACCTGGGTTCAATTCCACCCTTGGGTGACTGTCTGTATGGAGTTTGCACATTCTCCCCATGTCTGTGTGCTCTGGTTTCTTCCCATAGCCCAAAGATGTGTAGGTTAAGTGGCTTTGCCATGCTAAACTGGCCATAGTGTCCAGGAATGTGTAGGGTAAGTGGATTAGGTGAGTCTGGATGAGATGCTCTTTAGAGAGTCAGTGTGGACTTGTTGGGCTAATGGCCTGTTTCCACACTGTAAGTATTCTATTTTAAACTGAATATTCTCTCTGCTAAAATATTATGCTGTTTCCAAAAGTGAATGCAGTATTTTCTGTTTCCTTTTTCTTCATTTTGAGTGCAAGTTAACATTTTCCACAGTTTGAAAGCTTGCCAACGTGTACTGCTTCCACATTGAACAGTGACAAGATATTATGTTACACTGGGTATTATGGAAGGAGTAGCAATTCTGTAAGTGCTAAGGAACAGTAATCCGTGAAAGCTCAATCCTTGTAGCTGTCAATCAGACAGATGATGATGTAAATTAGATGTACATATCAAATGTGAGCTTTTATTTACAATGAAGACTCATTCATGCCATGTAAGTTCCCTCATAAACCGCTCCTTTTCATTTGCTTCCACTCTGTGGACTATGAAGGGCTGTTTGTGGCTGGCCATTATTGACCTGGTGCATAGCTGGACTTTAAATTTGGCACTGGCACTGGAAATCCCATAATGTCCCAGTGGTGGCGACTCCGTCTGCTGCCTGTGAGCACAGCGCCATACAGGCTTGGTGCATACGTAATGAGGTGAGCAGTGAAGCATTACGTGAGATCGCACACTGAAAGAATCCTTTTATGGAACGTCCCAAAATTGATACTAAGCTGATTTTTGGTAAAATTTAGCCCATACATTTTATAGGTACATGCAAATTGCCACTTAATATATTGAATTATTTGACCCTCTGAATGGAACTTTCTTATTGTTGACTTAGTCAATTAATTCAAATCTGTCAGAATAATTATAACTTGTGAGAATAATGCAATTCTTTAATATAGTTTGAAATCAAATATTAGAAGCTGAATTTGAATTTGCCCCATAATAAATGAAACTAAATTAAAGCAGCTTCAAAAATCAAAGATTTATAAGGTTTGACTGATATCACTCAGACGTACAGATTGTTACTGCTATTGCCTCATGTTTCAGTGTAGCATCAGTTGCTAAGATAATAAGGGGAGCAGTGGTGAGGTGTGGGGACACAAAGTTTAGGCAGTAAAGCATGCAGCACATCTAGATTAAATGAGATGTCAAGTTTTGTTCCATTTTAATTTGCTGGGCCCGATGTTCCCACCTGAAAATTCACTTAAAGTTATATAGCACAGAAACAGACCCTTTGGTCCAACTCATCCATACCAACCAGATATCCTAAATTAATCCTGTCTCATTTTCCAGCATGTGCCCGATAACCCTCTAAACACTTCCTACTCATATACAGATAATATACCGATCCAGATACCTTTTAAATGTTGTAATTGTACCAGCATCCACCACTTCTTCTGGCAGCTCATTGCATACACACCCCACCGTCTGCATGAAAAGGTTGCCACTCAGGCCCCTTTTAAATCTTTCCCCTCTCACCCTGTAGTTTTGGACTCTGCTACCTTAGGGAAAAGACCTCGGATATTCACCCTATACATGCCCCTCATGATTTTGTACACTTGTATAAGGTCACCCTCTGCCTCCGACACTCCAGAGAAAATAGCCCCAGCCTATTCAGCCTCTCCCTATTGCTCAAACCCTCCAACCCTGGCAACATCCTTGTAAAGCTTTTCTGAACCTTTTCAAGTTTCACAACATTCTTCCGACAGCAGGGAGACCAGATTTGATGCAATATTCCAAAAGTGGCCTAACCAATGTCCTGTAAAACCTCGACATGACCTCTAACTCCTATACTCAATGCATTGACCAATAAAGCCAAGCATACCAAACGTCGTCTTCACTATCCTATCTACATGCAACTCCACTTTCAAGGATCTGTGAACCTGCACTCCAAGGTCTCTTTGTTCAGCAACACTCCCCAGGACCTTACCATTAAGTGTATAAGACCTGCCCTGATTTGCCTTTCCACAATGCAGCACCTCACATTTATCTAAATTAACCTCCACCTGCCACCTACTCTGGGATAATCTTCTTCGCTGTCCACTACACAACCAATTTTGGTGTCATCTGCAAACTTACTAACCACAACTCCTATGTTCACATCCAAATCATTTACGTAAATGACAAAAAGCAGTTGACACAGCACTGTTCCTTGTGGCATACCACTGGTCACAGGCCTCCAATCTGAAAAGCAACCCTCCACCACAACCCTCTGTCTCCTACATTTGTGCCAATTCTGTATCCAACTGGCTAGTTCTCCCTGTATTCCACGTGATCTAATATCACTAACCAGTCCACCATGCAGAATCTTGTTGATGCCTTACTGAAGTATATATAGATCACATCCACCACTCTGCATTTGTCAATCCTCTTCATTACTTCTTCAAAAAACTCAATTAAGTTGGATGAGACATGATTTCCCATGCTCAAGACAATGTTACCTATCCCTGATCAGTCCCTGCTTTCCAAATATATGTAAATTTTGTCCCTCAGGATTCCCTCAAAACAACTGGCTGGGCTCTAGTTACTTTGTGCAGGGAGTCATGCAAAAACATTTAATATATCAACCAGGTAAATCTCAAAATCATTACCGGGCATTGGTGAAGTTTCATTTCATTGCAATTCCTCAAATGCCCAGCCAAAATCAATGCAATCCAATAATAAAATGGGAGCAGGAATTCAGATGCCATTTACTGCTGAGCATGCATGGATATGTTCTCTATGGTCAGGTAAGTCAAGGAGGAATGAGCTGGAAAGGTTGCTCATAATTGGGAAAGAACAGAGAACATGGAGCAACAGAGTCACAAAGCCTCTGACGCCTGAGAGACTCAGACAAACACATCCTCCTCTCCCGACCCACAATGTTGCCTAATCTGCCTCAGCCTTTTCTGGATCACAATTCATCGTCCACTTGAAGTTACCTGAAATGGGAGCTGTCACTATTTCACAGTTAAGCCACTGATTCAAAATGCAATTGTGTCCTGATGTCAAATTTTTGATGTAATTTACCTATTTAAAGACGTTGACCAATATCAGAACCTGGTTGGTGGCCAGTAGGATAATATTAACTGCCTTCTCCTGCCATTTTTCTACCAGCATTTTGGAGTTAAAAATAGGGCAATTGCTGCAATTAAATTAAAGTGACAACACAAGCATTTTTATTTTTAAAGTCCTGGGTGCTATTCCATAGAATGGGAATTGACGTTTGTACTTTCCTACATGACAAGCAGTTGATATGAGGTATATCACTACAGGACGATGTAACTTCTATTATGTTTTAAGCATAGTATAAAGCAGAGTTTTATATATATATGTATATAGTTCACACCGTATTCCTTAATCAAAATATAGAATTAAGAAAATGTGAAAGCACTTCAGCCAAATACCTTGTTACTGTCTTTCATACTACACCATTCTATAGACATTTTCCTTACTTTTTAAAATTAATTACGGCTACAAATTTCTAGAAAGAAGCCAAGATAAGAACAACAGAACTCCCCCCTCATTCAACAATTATACATATATTCCGATGCATAAGTTAAATTAAACCCCCTCATGTCAATAACAGAATTCCTCTTGGAGACCTGATAATGAAGCAAATGTGATTTTACACTAGTAGCAATTGTAGTTTTGTCCATAGATTCGCCTGCTGCTGAAATTAGCTTACTCGAAGGCATTCTGTTTTAAGAAGTGTTGATTATTTTTCATTTCCTTTTAAATTAATACCATGGGAGAGTACCACAAAGTCGTGCAATTCTGAAACAAGTTATCTCTCCAAAGGCTTGTGTGATGTCCATTTTGTGATTTGTCAAAGATTATCCATCTCTTGTTGGTAATTATACTCTCATCTTTGAATCAATATGAATGAACTATGTTTAAAGCAAAACAATATTACTCATCTGGAGGTTCATGGAATTATTTGGTTCTTTCCTCATCAATACATATAGCATTCATTTCATTTACAATCTTTCTGGATTACCTGAGTACCGTATTAACAATCATTGCTGTCCACTTGCTGAAGAAAGTTTGTGTACTGTAGCCAGTTTTAACTGTGTTCTGCCCCTTTACATCTTTCCCATTTTAAAATGCACATATTTTGTTCTTTTATAGGGTGTAATTCGCGTGCCAGCTCCATGCCAATATGCCTTCAAACTTACAACTCTAGTGGCTCAGAATGTTCATAGAGAACCTGACTTAGAATTGGCTGATCGCCTTTTCTTCCTGTGAAAGTAAATAATCTAGGATACTTAGTCGAATTCCTCAATACATTATTTTCTGAAAAACCAAAATATGATGAATGTTTGTTAGTTTTAAAATCCAGTAAAGCTATTATTTTCTGTAAGTTTAAATTTGTTTTTAAGGGGTCTGTTCTGTAAATGTAGATGTCCTTTGCTTTTAAATGAAACTTATTTCATTTTAAATTGTTATCTGACCGTGTATTTGAATAAGGACATACAAATATGCTGCAGAACCTCAAATATTACTTAAAAAGATAGTAAAATATAAGCAAAGATATGCGCAATAGAAAATATGAGCAATGTTTATAATGGTTTACAGCATTTACAAACAAACTTTGCATTTCATTCAAGTCAGACATATTCTGTGTTTGTACAATTTCTTAAAGAGAAAAACAATTTTGCATAAGTAGGAATATACTCATTTTTGAATAATAGAGTTCATCTAAAATTATCATCGCGTGTTTCATCTTCCTGATTCTATTTTAATCAGCAAACTACTTGTTTATTTTGTTAAAGATATAGGATTCTTAGCCAATAGGCAAACATACTTAATAGAGAAATAAAGAATGATATTCATTTTTTTTATTTGTTTTATAAGATGGTTAACTTTTAAAATATTATTTAAAATGCTTTAATTTTGAACAAATTTATTTTAATCTTACCTGTTGTCCAATAAAAACCATAATAAATGCACACGTTATATTTAAATTGGTGTCACTTTTACTTGAAGATTTTGAAACGGTAATACACATATTTCTATTCATTAAAGGTTTTCTTCAGTAAGTTGGTACTCTTTACAGTCAGGATTTGGATCCTGGTACCTCCAAAAGTATTTCTCAATTGAATTCTTATACTTAACAATTTAACTATTCCAGGCTGAATGAAAAGATTAATTGCAGTGGTCTTTGACAGTAAGTTCATACTGGCCATTACCAGTCAAGATATTACGGATTTCATTTAGGCATGTAATCATCAGATCATTTCGAACATTGCAGCATAGACCGTGACTAGTCATTGGCATTTGTTTTGAGCAGAAAAAATGATTTAATATGCTGTAAGATTGACACAAGGTAGAAATATTTTAGTTGATATCTTTTTCAAATCAAAAAGACAAGAAAGCATATATCCTTCCTGTTCACAACACAATTAGCTTACTGAAAGGTTTAAACGAGGTCCTAGTTTACTTTATTTCAAACATCACGCCAAATCTGATATTTACATCCTTTAAAAGGATAGAATCATATGCTATACCATAAACAAAACAGTTTGTGAACATCTGGGAGTTTATTTTATCTTGTATTTTACAGCAATAGCGTACAACACTTCTGCATTAACAAGTAGTAATATTGATGTTGGTTATATTGAGTAGTTTTTAACAATCTGCCAATCTAACAATTGGTGTTTGAGGCAAAAACCTTCAACTAATTTAAAAGGAACCTGGATCTGCACTTGAAGTGCTGCAATCTGAAAGGCTGTGGACCAAGTGCCAGAAAATGGGATTTGAGTAAGCGAATGGTTTATTCACCCAGTGCAGACACAATGGGCTGAGTGACCTCTTTATGTGCTATAATATTTCTATGGTTCTTTTTGCCTATGATTTTAAGTTTGGAGAATATCTGTCTGATGCACAGATCCATACTTAATGGAAATTTGGCTTGATTTGATTTGATTTATTGTAGTCATATGTACCTTAGTACAGTGAAAAGTTTCGTTTGCGAGCAGTACAGACAGATCAGAGAAAACAAGGACATACAGATGTGTGATGTGAGTTGTTCACCGATTTATCCTAGTAAAGCATCCTCAGGCCTGGATTTTACATGACCTGCTGTGTGTGTTTTCAGTGAGAGCCATGTAACTACCATATTTACACCTTGGATGGAATAGTAAGCTATTTTTGGCAAAAAAAGTTCAAAATCATGCTGTAAACTTATAAAAAGAGGTTTATAATGTCTCACCAGATTTGGGAATTAATGGCCAAATCATGTTATTTGTGTTGGATCCTCAGTTAGAAGATTATACAGTTGGGCCAACCAAACAGAGCCCATGCAGCTTGATGGTGTTATGGACCAGATCAAACCCCCTCAAAACATATTCATAAGATAGTCTGGACTTGGAATTTTTTTAATTTAAATGTAAGTGTAAGGTGTTGTGATCCAGATGCAATTCCATTAATCAAACTACTTGATGTTAAGAAAAATACACTTTATTCATACTTGATAGTTAAAACACAACAAAAGAAAGAAGAAATTAGAATAACTCTATTGGAAAACTTAAAAGAATAATAGATTATTTACTATTAATTAGTAACTGTTCCAATACAGTAACATCCATAAATGCACTCTTGACAAAGGCAAATTCAGTAAAATAGATTGCCTCACAGGCAATTCTCCACTGCAGCAGGCAAAAAAGATCAAGAGAAAACTGTCGGAGAGAGAGTAGCAGGGAGAGATGTACTACAGTTTCCAAACCCAGCTTAAAGACCCCAGCAACTACTACTGAAAAACTAAAACTAAAACTCCTAGCTCTGAGGGAGCTTGATCTCATCCATTTAGGCTGCGTCTATTGTTCCAATTTTAAAAAAAAAAATGTCTCACAAGCAGTTTACATTATCAGATTCAAATAGCTTCGCAATGGTGTCTTAAAACCTCTTTTCAAAAAAACCAGGATAAAATACACCTCTGAAAGCCATAGAATCATCACAATGGATGTACACTCAGCAACATGGTCTGATATCATGCGGTGCAGACAGTCTACTCTTCTTAAAGGCAGCTGTTCCCTTTTAAAGGGGGACTGCCTACAAAGATACCAGTTGCAAGTAGCAGCCATAAAAATAATGCCAAGGAAAAGAAAAATCTCTTCACATATACAAAAGCCATAGTGGAAAGCCATAGTGTGGAAGTCAATGGGAGAGGAACAATGAGTTCTGAGGAAGGGTCACCGGACCCAAAACGTTAACTCTGTTTTCTCCTCCACAGATGCTGCCAGACCTGCTGAGCTTTTCCAGCAACTTTGTTTTTGTTCAATGGGAAAGGTGGTCGTCAATTTCCACAGGAGAACACAAGATTCTCAAAACTTAACACGGAATGGGAACAAGTGGGCAGGAAGGCCAATGGCCAGAATCTGGCCCCAAGGACCTGGAGACAGTACTGTAAGATGTTCAATGAATCAGTGAACGCACTTCTCAAAAATTTTCAACCCACCACACCCTCAACCTCAGAATTTATGTATAGATCCGTCATTCGCCTATCATCCTTTATAGAATAAAACCCAATGGGAAGTCTGGTGGAATTGTAGCTAAGTGGAGAAATTATAGGATAAGATTTTTAAAGAAGAGGTTTATAATGTTGCCAATGAGAGAATGCTGGAGAAACTGAATAGGTTTGGCAGCATCTGTGGAGAGAGAAACAATTAACATTTCAAGTCCAGTATGACTTCTTCAGAATTAAGGAACATAGGAGTTCCAAGAAATTGATTAAATTTAATCCTGATAACAGTGAGGTGATGCATTTTGGGAGGTCTAATACAGGAAAGACATTCACAATGAGGAGTAGGTTATTCGGGAATACTGAGGGAAGAAGCAATTTTGGTGTACAAGTCCATAGATCCTTGAAAGTTTCATCAAGGGTAGAGTGGTGAAGAAGGAATACAGAATGCTTACCTTCATGGGCCATGAATATAGGAGCAAGGAATTCTTGTGTCAACTGTATAAAACATTGGTTAGGTGCCAAATAGAAGACTGTGTACAGCTCTGGTCACTACCCTAATGGAAGCACATGATTGCACTGGAGAGGGTGTAGAGGAGAATCGTCCCAGGCAATTTCCCAATGTCCTTGTGGTGTGGTTTGCTTGTGCCATTCAGGAGTGTTTAAGCTAGTATGACAGGGGCTGGGAACCAGAGCAGTAGGACAGCATGTGAGAAGAAGGTAGAGGTTAATGGATGAACAAGTAGGGCTAATTAATGTATATGATGGGACTATTAAAAGTGTATTAAGACCGGAGGCATAAATAATAAGCTGAAGCACAGGATAGAGTGTACGGCTAAAAATAAAATTATTTATATAAATGCATGGAGTATAAGGAACAAATGAACTACAGACACAGATTCAAAGTTAAAATATGATATACTAGCTATTACGGAGACATAGCTGCACAATGATCAGGACTGGGGACTAACAGGTTATAAAAGGTTTGCAGGACGAATGGAGAAAATGGCAGCGAGGAGGAGTAGCATTACTAATTAGAAACAGAATCAGTTCTGTGGTGAGTTCTAGGATGTAATGAGGGGAAAGCAACCAGAGGAGACCTTATGGGAATTTAGGAACTGTAAAGGAACTAAAACTACAATAGGTGCCATATAGATCTAGTAGCAACTCAGAAGTGCTATATTTTGTAAATGCTGAAATTAGACTACTATGTAGCAAAAATAGGGTCATATTAATGAGGGATTTTAATCTTAACATAGACCAGGAGAGACAGACAAACACCTGGCAAAAAGTTTGTGAATTTCTAGAGTGTCTGGGATAATTTCCTAAGACAATATGTCTGGGATTTGACAAGGGGACAAGCAATATTGCATCCAGTAATGAGCAATGAGCCTGATTTAATTACTGACCTACTTGTTCATGAGCATTTGTCGAGTAGAGTTATAGAGTCCTACAGCAAGAAGACAAGCCCTTCGGCCCCAATTGGTCCATGCCAACCAAAATGTCCATCCACACTAAGCCCATTTCCCTGCACTTGGCCCATAATCCTTCTAAACCTTTCCTATCCATGTATTTGTTTAAATGCCTTTTAAATGTTGTTAATGTACCCGTCTCAACCACTTTCACTGGCAGCTCATTCCATATGCGTACCACTCTCTATGTAAAAAAGTTGCCCCCAGGTTTCTATTTATTCTCTCCCCTCTTACTTTAAACTGATGCCCCCTAGTCCTTGGTTCCCCAACACTGGGGAAAAGACTGAGTGCATTCACCCTATACATGCCTCTCATGATCTTATACAGTTCTATAAGATCTCCACTCAGTCTCCTTCGCTCTAAAGAAGAGTCCTAACTTGTCCAACCTCTCCTTATAAATCAGTCCCTTGAGTCCTGACAACATACTTTTAAATTTCTTCTGTACTCTTTTCAGTAGAGACCATAACATAATCAAGTTTCATCTAGTGTTTGTAAGAGATAAGGAAAGAGTGGATTGTGGCTTTTAGTAAGGCAGACTTTAATGGGATAAGATAAAGATTGTCCACAGTAAACTGGGAAGCTCTGCTAATAGGTAAAATAACCAAGGAACAGTGGAGGGTATTCAAAGTAACATTTAATGCTATTCAGAAGCAGGTTGTACCCATGAGAAGGAAAAACTCCACCTCACAAAACAAAGCAGCCATGGACATCTAAGGAGGTAAGACACAGCATGAAATTAAATGAAAGAGCTTATAGAAATATAAAGAACAATACAGATCCCACAGAATGGGACAAATACAAAGACCAACAAAGAGCCACAAAGCGGCTTATAAGAGCGGCTGAAAAGGATTATGAAAGGAAACTTGCAAACGACATAAAATACAATTAGAAGAAATTTAATGGTTATGTAAAGGGCCAGCAGC